GGATTATAACACTATTAGCAGTTGAAACTCTTCATATCATTTGTAACTATTATCATCAGCCCCAAGATGGAGAATCTGATAATTGATTTTACATGTTTAATTAGTCTAAATAATTTTAATATATACTTTTCATTCTTTATATTTATTCCCACAGGAAATAATAATGAAATAATTTGCTTCATATAGTTTTGTGGTAGAATTCCTTTAAAAAGCAAACTTTTATGCAATAAGTATAATTTTATCTGAAAAACCCAATCTAATAATCTGTTTTGTTTTTTTGTTTTGTTTTGTTTTGTTTTGTTTTTGAGACGGAGTCTCGCTCTGTTGCCCAGGTTGGAGTGCAGTGGCTGGATCTCAGCTCACTGCAAGCTCCGCCTCCCGGGTTCATGCCATTCTCCTGCCTCAGCCTCCCAAGTAGCTGGGACTACAGGCGCCCGCCACCTCGCCCGGATAGTTTTTTGTATTTTTTAGTAGAGACGGGGTTTCACCATGTTAGCCAGGATGGTCTCGATCTCCTGACCTCGTGATCCACCCATCTCGGCCTCCCAAAGTGCTGGGATTACAGGCTTGAGCCACCGCACCCGGCCTAATAATCTATTTTTATTGGGTAGGGTAAGTAGGTTGATGTTCATCTGAATTGGCATACTTCCAAACTGAAAGAGATCAGGAAGGGAAAATTCATAATAGAATAAATAATTAATACATTCTCTTCAATATAGACTTTTTCTTCATAATGTGCTATCAAATATCACTTTGGGTATTAAATATTTTCCCTAAATGTTCTTTGTAGTATCTTTTTTTTCAAGATAAAATGTAATATAATTGGAACCATTTTGATTAAGCATTTTTATTCTTCTTTTGAACACTCATTAATTATACTTTGCTTTCTAGGACCTGAATGATGTTTTTATTGCAAATTTCCCAACTTAATCTCTATGTTTTGGAGAATACATGGACTATGACCAGGATGGAACATTTAAATTCATATACTCAATCACTAACTCAATCCTTCCAAGAAAAATAAAAGAAATCATATATTCCAAGGCTGTCATATATAATGCCGACTCAAAATTATGATATTTCTGATAGGTTGATCATTGGTTATGATCATTGGTTGATCATTGGTTACTAATAATTTGCTTTAGTATGATATTCAGAAAAGGGTGGTCATGGTATATATTTAGGTCACTGCATATCTTCAGGTATATTTCCTGGCACACATTAGATATTCTGTATGTATCTGTTGAAGAAATGAATAAATGCATGAATAATACGTGGCAGTAATCATGAGAAGAGAGACTCTGGCTTTTTTCTATACTAATCTCTAATTCTGCAAGTAATACCTATGCCATTTGAAATACTAATGATAGTAATATATTGGCAAATTTTAACATAGGGACATACCTTATTTTTGCAGCTTATACTTGCAGGTAAGCAGAGATTATTATAAACAATTCAGGAGTGAAGAAAATAAGACAATTGACCAACTAGTCACAGCAACCTGAGATAAATTGAGAAAATAAGTTACTGTTTTTAACAAACCTTTCTTAGAAACTTTAATATGATATTCCATGTTCCTTATAACCCCAATATTTTATAGTATTCAAGTCCATGTTAACAAAATGTAGGGGTTGACAGAAATTGTCATGCTTTTATATTGTTAACTTATATTTAAGGAAAGGATATCTATAAAATTCAGTTTTACCAACTAAGAGGATATATGAATTGCCCTGGGTTGCTCTCACACTTTATTGGGAATATCTCTTCTTAAACATTTACTTATTCAACAATATTTATTTAGCAAGTACCATGTGCCAGGCATTGCTCTGGTCACTGAGACTCAGCATTCAAAGAAGATCTCTGCCTTCATGGAGATTGCCTTCTCATTGAGAGAAGTAAACATAAAAAAGTAAAGAAAGAAATACATAAGTAACATGATTTTAGGTAATAGTGAGAGTTATTAAGAAATGGCGATCCAATCATAAACCACTGGAGAAGGCCAATTTAAGTTGGTTAATCAGGAAAGGCCTCTCTGAAAAGGCATTTAGACAGGCCTGAAGGAGAAGAAAGGGCATCCACATGAAAATCTGAAGAAAACGTATTCCAGGAAAAGTGAACAGCACTGCAAAGGCCCCTCAAAGGAAACTGGCTCCACATATTTGAGAAAGAAAAAAGGTGCAGTAAGGCTGAAGTTTAGTGAGTAAAGAGAAATGTGGTAGAATATCAGATTGAAAATACAGGCAGTGGCAAGAACAGGTAGACACCAGTAGGCCTCGGTGGGATGCTTAGAAAACCCAAGCGTTTTGAGAGGGAAGTGAAATGACAGGTTATATGGTTTTTGAAGAGGGCTCTGGTTGTTGAGTAGAAACTTAATATTAGAAAGCCAAGGATAGAAGGTGGGAGATCCTCCAGGAGCTTTGTGCAGTAGGCCAGGCAAGAGATGAGCATGACTGGGGGTGGCAAGAGATGAAGTGTTTTAGGAAAACTTACAGTGGTAAAACCAACAGGACCTAAATATTTTATTGTATGTGACGACTGAGAAAAATACAGCAGTCGAAGTGTATAAGTAACTGGATAAATATTGGTATCATTTACAACATGGAAAAATCTTGGGGGAAATTTTGGATTCTGTTATGGTATTTTAAAGTTAAAATCCTTATTAGACTTAAAATAGAGATGACAAGTAGTCAAGTTGTGAGCTTGAGAGATAGATGAGAGGTAGAGATATAAATTTGGGATGTTAATGTCCATATAATAATCAAAGACATGAGGCTCTATGAGATTATACAGGGAGGAAATTAAGACAGCCAAGAGAAGAGGGCCCAGCCCTGAGTCCTGCTTTATTTATAGGTCAGGCAGCAGAGTCACAGCGAGAAATCAAAACCGAAACAGTCATTGAAATAGGAGGGGGAACAGGAGAGTACCGCTTTTAAAAACAGTAACAGCTTTCACTTTTTGAGAAATATCATGCGCTAGGTACATCTAATACTGTTTATGTACTAGTATTAACTCTTCCATCCTCACAACAGCCACATGATGTAGGTAAACATAGGTACTTATCTCCTTTTGTAGAAGAGGAGTCAAAGACAGAGAAAAATTAAGAAAAGCATTTTAAGAAAGAGGAAACTATGTCAAATATGCTGCAAGGTTGAGCTTGACTAAGATTAAAGACATAAAAGTGAATGTTTTATTTGGTAAGAGAGAGGACATTGGTGATTTCAGAAAAAAACAGGCTCAATAGGATGAATGTGAGAGTTCCACAAAAGTGTGCTTTATAAAAAATAGTAGTACCTTTCTGAGAAGTTTGCTATAAAAGAGAAAGAGAAAACATAAATTTGTTAGAAGGAGACACTATATTAATAATTTGTTTTCAAGATATGAGAGATACCAAGAAATATTTTTATTCTTCTGGCTATTATTCTATATATGGAAATAAATTACATAGGAAAAATAGTGATTAATTACTGTAGCAAAACCTTGAAAAACCAGAATGTGATCCAAACTATAAATGGAGAGGAACTAACTTTTTGTGGGTACTGAGATTGTGTATTTTAACAGGAATCTGGGCAAAAAGAATACAGATACTGAAGCAGGAAAGGTGGGTAGGTTTGATGGTGAGTATATGAGGATGTTCATGACTATTTCTATTGTCTGAAAGTAATATGATGGTCATCATTTGAGTATGAGAGGGAAGAGTACAGAAAGATTAATGGAAAAGGTTGGGTGCAGTGGCTCACACCTGTTATCTCAGCACTTTGTGAGGCTGAGGTGGAAGAATTGCTTGAGGACAGCAGTTTGAGATCAGCCTAAGCAACATGAGACCCTCATCTCTAAAAATGGTTAAAAAAAAAAAGAAGTTGGGCATGGCGACACATGCTGGTAGTACCAGCTATTCAGGAGGCTGAAGCAGGAGGATCACTTGAGACCAGGAGGTTAAGGCTGCAGTGTACTATGACTGGACCACTTTATTCCAGCCTGGGTGACAGAGTAAGACTCTGTCTCAACAACAACAATTTAAAAAAAGATTAATGAATTAATGAAGATAATTTAAAAATAGAAAATCTATTAAGAAAGGGTAAAGAGATGGATAGCAGTGTTGAGAGGCCATTTAAGATTGCAGTCACAAGTATAATGAGAAAACCAGTCAGCACTGTGGTGTTCTCCAGCAATATTCAGCTGTTCTGGTGCAGTGTGCAGTAGGCAGATAGCTGAGTTTTCCCAGGGAATTTTGATGAAGAGCCACACCTGGGAGTTAGCGCAGTGATTAACCCAATATATACCATCTAGAAGTGTGCCTTTGCTGAACTAAAGCGAGATTTTCTTGTCTTCACTACCTGATTCTGAGCAGGAAAAATTACATTTTGTATGTATGATGCTTATAGAGCCAAAGCATCTCCCAAAGTCTGGTGATAGAATAGTGTTGTGCTTAGCAAAGTTTGGGATTTCAATTTTAACTCATATTACATGAAATGAACCACAGCAAATTGTTCTTTCTAATTCTCTACCACTCTTAAAACTCCAGGGGGTCTTCCATTCTTCTGGCCTTCCATTTCCTTCACGCCACATGGTATTTTATATTTAGTCAAAATTTATCTTAGGGTTCTCAAATGATTACCTGTTGTTTGATTTCTTGAGCACTTAAAGTAATTCTTTTTATGTTTTTCATTGTTACCATGGCTCTTTTATCAAAGAGTTGGATTAAACAACCTTTGAAAATATTATTTGTACTAGAAATCTCAGCCTGGGCATTTTTCACACATCACACCTTCAAAAACCTCTTGTTGTCATACTTATCATTAGACAGTAGGGTCTTTGTGCCAAAGACCATGTCTTTTTCAGCTTGGTCTCCCACAACACATAGTCCTGCGCCTAGCACAGAGTGGGTGCTCAGTACATGTTTCTCTGAATGAACAAATAAATGTATTATCCTGCTGAGGAGTCTAAATAACATACACAGACAAACACTAAGCAAGAAGAGAGAAGAAAATGAAACATTAACATGTGAAAATAGGTAGGTTTTTAATTGTGTTTACAACAGAAAGAGCATGGAATTAAACATTCTGTTCCAGATTACTTGGTGAGATGATTATAAAGTGATAATAGACCTACAATTGTTTGCATGGACATACTATACCAAGAATGTGACTATTCATTTTCTCACATCTCTTAGACCAGGATTACTGATTGTGTTGTTTTCTTTGTAAAAGCTGTTCCAGGACCAGCATCAAAAGATACTAAAGACAGATTCTGCAATATTGAAAGAGAAATACAAGATAATTGTTTCATTCATAAAGAATCTTACAGGTAAGTTTCATGATTTAATAACAAAGTGGAATGTCCAAGCATATCATCTGAAAATAATGTAATAAGTATAAAGTAGTGTCTCCACATGACTTGCCTTATTCTAAATAATATTTATCCTTTAAATATTATCAAATACTATTATATAATTACTATATGACTGTATGTTGCCTGCTTTTGACAGGGATACAAGTTATTATTTTGAGCTTTCTCTACTGCGTTAAAATAACATATTTGTATGTGTTTCTGGTTTGGTTTTTAAAAATAACATCGTTGTTGAGCTCGAATTCACATCCCATATATTTTAACACATAGGTTATATATGTCATATAAAATTAGTGAATTTATGCTTTAATTTGTAAGGGCAAAAAGAAAGAAAGGCACTACTTAACAAAGATTCAGAAACAAGTTTGCCTATGAAGGATCGAGAACAATTATTCCACTAGACTTTCTCCAGAAGATAATCAATTACTTAGTAAATCTCACAACCTCTATTGAAAATATCCTGTGCCAGACACTGAGGATAGGTCACTGAGCCTGACCGATGTGGTTCCTGATATGGAAGAATTTAAAGCCCAGAAGGAGAGGGGGGAAATATATGTATATGCTTAGTACTCAGAGAAAGCTAGCAAGGGGGTCTTATTTGAGTCAGAGTGGCCAAGAGTTACAGTTAAATATATTTTGTCTCATCTTACACAAATTTAGCTTTACTTCTACCACAAATTCTCATCCTAAATTCTAACATATACAGATACAGAAGCAATAGGATAAATAATGAACCAAAATGCTTCTTCAGTTCATTCAGCAAACATTTTATGTGTGCTTCCCATGTCTTAGGTCTCTACTAGGTGCTGGGAATGAAAATTAAAAAGTCACTGACATGGTTTCTGCAGTGGAGAAACTAATATGTGAGCAATTATAATAAGGAGCCATGAGCACAGAAAACCAGAAGAAAACTTGGGAGCAGGGAGAATAACTCAGACTGAGAAGTCTTTCTCTAAAAGATAATATTAGGGTTATGATTTTAAGAGGAAATATTCGGTCAAGGAAAGGGTGAGGAGAGAAGTGGGAAGAGGTGAGGAAAAAGATGGTATGTAGTGGGAACTCAAGAAAGAGGCAGAGATACTAAAGCTTATGTTTATTAAAAATAGCATAATACATATGAGAAATTGCAAATGACTGTATCGAGCAGGTAGGAAGTGTAGAAAGTAAAAAGAAATGAGTTTAGAGATGCAATTAAGCACCAAATAACGAAGGGTGTTATGTGCCAGGGTAGGTTTTATCTTACTGTGACTAGGGAACTACTTAAAGACCTTGAGTAATTATAAATAGAATGACCACATTTGCATGTGTACACAGATAATTCAATAAGTGGAAGGAAAATAGGTTGCAGGAAAGACAGCCTGGAAGCAGAGCAAATACTTAGGGAACAGTGGCAATAAGCCAGGAAAAACACGCTAACCAGCTGCATGAAGGCAACGGCAATACAGCAGATACTCAAAAGAGACCAGGGAGGTAAACTAACAAAACTTCGTTACTGGTTGAAGATGGTGGGTGTGGTAGGCATCTAAGGTGACACAAGGATTTACTGGCTTGAGCGGTGGTATTAATTCTGGTGTCACTATTTAAGAGAGGAAATGAGGAAGAGGATGAGATTAGGGAAACAGAGACAAGAATAGACTGATATTATTCACTGTATTATATGTGCCAGCCACTGTTCTTCTGCTACAGTTTTAATTCATCTTTATTTGCTGCTGAATTTCAAACATGAATCTCCAACCAGGCTTGCTTTCTTGAGTTCCAGATTTGTATATAAAAATGTCTCCTAGATATTTTCACTTGGATAGCTTGACAAAGAACTGCAGAGTAGAATCTGAAAAATGAGATTAGATTTAGGCACTAGAAGAGAAAGTGTGTGTGTCGTTAACTTTTTGCTATATATTTTTTTCACTGAAACTATAGAAAATAAGAAAAATAGAGGTATGGACACAAATAAGTTAGAAGTGGCAGCAAGATGAAGAAACACTTGCTTTGGGAATTACTTCTTTCAGTAAGTAGAAAAAGATAATCTGCTGAAATCAGTGGAGGTAAATTGGCAAATTAAAAAAAAAACTGAGGGGAAAATGGTGAAGGTTTGAAATAGCTACAGATAATAAGAGAGGGAGTCAAAATGGAAATATAAAATGGTGTGCAGGTATCATTGACAGTTCAACTAAGATGAGGACCTTGATCTGTGGGATTTCAATTTTAGTAGCACCAATCCACGTGGCTATTTGATTTCTGTAAAATTTCTTGAGTCCAGGTACAGGAGTGGAGAACACAGGTGGTTGGGTTTATCCAGGATTAGACTTTTGCTTTGTGAGTGTAGTAGGAAAGTAGAGTCAAGTTTTGTGGGTGTAGACAATAGAATTGTTTAAGTTAGAGATCAAAGGCCCAGAGTGATTATTAAATAGAATGTATCCAGGAGGAATCTTTTAGATTGACAGGGAAAAAAAGGAGCAGTTATGAGCTGAACACCAATAGAGAATAATGGGAATGGGAACTGGAATATTAAGAGGCTAAGAACAGAGGGGAAATCTTAAGAGCAGAGTATTTCAGAAGTGGGGAGACCCTGGGTGATGCAAAGCCCCAGGTTTGGAATGGAGTTGCTCACTGAAGAGGGAAGGAAAGTCAAAGGCTTGGACAAAACCAAGGGAATCTGCTATTAATTTGTCAGATGGCCCACCCAGTGTTGGAAGGACTTTCAAGGCCACTAGTCCAGCCTCCTTAAACAGAAAAGTATATTACATTCTGACCTTCAATAAATGTTGGCCAAGGAGCAGGCATCCTGAGCATGAAATAGTCACCCATCATAGAGCACCCTATGCAAATGATTGAGCTTAAGTTCTCTAAAGCAAGTATAAAATAAGTCAGTGATAACTTTGTTTTTTAATTTAAATATTATTTGCATACAGTAGTTTGTATTTCTTACTTTTGTTTTTAGAAGAAAATGGTTCACAGGATTTGAAGGGAAGGAGCTTTTGATTCCCTCTTGGACAAAAGAACTTCAGCAAAAGTCCTAGAGGGAGAAACAATACGGGATGTAACAAATGTTCTCTTAGAGTTGACATCTAAATGACTTTTCATTGTAGAGGCATGGAACCAATCTAAATTCTCCCACTTCATCTTGTGTTGCCTATCAGACAGTTAAATCTTATTGTTTTAATCTGCCTATAAATGTAGCTCTGGGCTTAATATGGAAACAACATTTTTTGAATATGGATTTTAAAAAAATCTATGTTTGCAGATTTTAATTTATTTGATTATACCATCATCTGCCTCTAGTGGAAGAAAATTCAAGGCTGTTTGCTTTCCTGGCCTCCTTTTCCCACTTTCTCTCCAAAACGAATCAGGATAAAGGAAGAAAAATCATTTTCTTTCATCCCTAAGGAGGAGGAGTATTGGTTATTGCCAGCTCCTAGGATATAATAGATTCAATGAGCTAGAATAATCTAATCAAATATTTGTTAAAGGGGTTAGAAGGTACTGTATCTGCAGGAGCTCCACACACAAACCTGAAACTTTTCCTAATTCTATTACTTTACAGTCTGTGTTCTTTACCTGTTGACAGAGAAAATATATTGAATCTGAGAAGAGAGCTATTAAATTAATAGTCAAAATTACTTATTTTACCACACTTCATTATTGCTCTCAGTTCCTTCAGTCATACAGAAGTTTGGTTTACATATCCCTTTCGTTTTAAACATCTGGGAAGCTTTAGAAACCAAATTTGTTATAATTCTGGGATGTGGGTTTGGTATTTGGCATGTATAATTTTGCAAAATGGAGATTAATAAAAATAGAGTAATAATTACTCAAGCAAAACCAAAAATTGCAGGAAGAAGCAAGTGCTAATTGAATAATGTGTGTGGCTGCAGTTAAAATCCCTAAAAAATATAATATATGACATTTGGTTATTATATTTCTTATATAGTAACTTCTTAATGTAGTAATTTCTCTTTCTATACCAAAGACCCAACATTATATAGTAACCCATGCCATGCACACCTATGTAATTCATGACTGCCTAGATAATTGTAATATTATACTTACTCTGTCACTGTTATTTATTTTTCTTTTTTTTTTTTTTTTTTCTTTTTGAGATAGACTCTCACTTTGTTGCCCAGGCTGGAGTGCAGTGACACGATCTCAGCTCACCGCAACCTCTGCCTCCCAGGTTCAAGTGATTCTCCTGTCTCAGCCTCCCAAGTAGCTGGGATCACAGGCACCTACTGCCATACCCGGCTAATTTTGCATTTTTAGTACAGACGGGGTTTCACTATGTTGGCCAGGCTTGTCTTGAACTCCTCACCTCAGGTGATCAGCCCACTTTGACCTCCCAAAGTGCTGGGATTACAGGTGTGAACCACCGCACCCGGCCTGTCACTATTATCTTGAACACGCTGTCAGTCAGTACTCCTAGTCATTTATATTTATTTACTATGTTAAGTAAAAAATGTTTTATAAATTGTTGCAATTGCTGGATTCTTTTATTACCAGATCATATTCCTTTTCATATTTTAAGATGAAAAAATTCTCGTTTCTCTTCTGCAAACTAGCTAAGAAGAAGCTGTACACACTAAAACTGTTTGACAGATTTCCTAAGCCAAGCACAAGTAAGCTTGAGTGCTATCCTTTTGTCTATTTACAATTTAGCTTGAACAGAGAGCCTTTACATTACATCAAATCATCTGTAACACAAGAAGCTTAACACCAGCTGTTTTGAAAGTTGTGCCATATGACCAGGTATCGAACATTCAGGAACACAAACAGGTATCTTGGGGAAAGTTACTGAATAGCTAATGCAAAGCAGATTGTGTTACAGTAATAAACTAAAGAGCCAAAAGTAAGACTGAGGTCAGTTAGAAAAGTTTTTTGTTGGTTTGTTTGTTTTTGTTTAGCATAGTGGTTACATCTGTTCATCATGTATACTCCTATCAGAGCAAACTACCTGCAGTTCCCCAATGTGCCACACTCTTCCATAACTCAATGCCTTTGACCATAGGGTCATGCCTTCCAAAAATTACCTCTATCTATTTGTTTACCTGGTGAGCTTCTATTTTTTCTTTTTGACTCAACTGAAACAATCCCCACGTGGAAACTTCTCTCACTCTCCTCTGTTTCAATAGTACATTGTCTGTACCCATATTACAAAATATATTCCTTTGCTTATTGAAACTGCTTACTTGCTGGTTTTGTCCCCTGGAGGTCAGAAACTATCACTTCTTCATCCCTGTATTTCCAGTATCACATACAGAGCCTGGCACTTTGGAAACAGAAAACAATGTTTGTTTGTGTTTTAATAAAGGCAGTACTTAGAGCAGTGAGATCAAGAGAATAGTAAGAATACTGACAAAGGAATAGTATTTGGTGGTGTTATAAATGAAGAAACATATGATTTTGTATAAATTAATAAATTTTACTAACTTACGAGTGTAAGAAATATCAGTATGTTCAGAATTTTTAGCAACATAAGTAGGCATCTTTTGATATAATATTAAGAAATATTAGACAGAAGGTAGCAAATGAATGTAAACAAGGGAAGTGCAAAGACTGTGATAAAAAGGCCATTAAAATGTAGCCAGATGGAAGTTTTTTATAACAGTTTTAGGAGAGAAAGAAGATGCAACGAATATATAAAAAAACTACACTACCAGCGAAGAAGAATATTCCATTATAGTGCTTATGTTAAGGAATGAGGCAAACAGAAAACGAAAACACTAGTTTATGATTAGATATAAAACATCATGAGAATACAGATCACAGAAGAAAAATTATTGAAGTAAATTATCAGATAATTCAAGTAGAATGAAGAAAAGAGGTAAACTGGATGTTGAAAGAAAGGAAAGGAACAACTGAAGTGGTAAAGGGATGTGCAATGAAAGTCAAGGTGGAAGCAAAGAATGATCTAGGAATGTTTGAGGACCAGAAGGAAGACCAGCCCCAGGAGGACAAAATGCTGTTCTTAAAGGTGTAGATGTTTGGGTTAACATTGAAAATTTGAGTTGAAATATAGCAAACTTTTTTATTTTCATAGACCGTCAAGTCTTTTTCTATAGGCTGACAACAAAGCAAATGGATATCTAACTTACAATGAAATCCAGAGCCTTCTAGGAGCAGAGACACCAGAATAAGAACAACTGGAGCTATTTGATGCTGATAATAACAAGATGTGCTCCTACCTGTAACTAATAAGAGCATTTGGGCTGACTGGTAAGAGGATTCAAGGGCCGGAATATCAATAATGGTCAAGTGACAAGTAGTCTTGAACAGTGTTCTGTATTACAGCCCAAAATTAACAGGCAACCCACATTTTCAGTTATTAGTTTATAATTGAAATCCAAAACAAAAGTTTACAGAAAAACCTGAAAAGTAGCAATAAACATAGCATCTCAAGCCATACACAAGGATAATTAGAGTTTAAAAAACTGACAGTCATTGCTTAATTGCACAAATAAATGGGTTATTTGCAGGCTATGGAAAGGCATATTATTTAGTCTCCTTTTGCACTTGATAATAGGATTTTAGGATGACACTCTTAATACTGTTAAACTTTTTTTTTTTTTTTTTTTTTTTTTTTGAGACAGAGTCTTGCTCTGTTGCCCAGGCTGGAGTGCAGTGGTGCGATCTCGGCTCACTGCAAACTCCACCTCCTGGGTACATGTCATTCTCCCACCTCAGCCTCCCAAGTAGCTGGGACTACAGGCACCTGCCACCACACCCGACTAATTTCTTTTTGTATTTTTTTTAGTAGAGACGGGGTTTCACCATGTTAGCCAGGATGGTCTCGATCTCCTGACCTTGCGTTCTGCCCGCCTCAGCCTCCCAAAGTACTGGGATAACAGGCGTGAGCCACCGCGTCCAACCAATACTGTTAAACTTTAAAGCCGAGTATTCTAAAGTGGTGATGTAAGGCTACTACTCATTTAACAGAAATAAGAAATTAAAGCAAGAGAAATAAGAAATTAAAGCAACATAACTTGCATGAAATTTTAAGGAATCTAAAATACCTTTTTAAATTGTACTATTTCCCCCATCTGCTTCTTTTCTATTTAGTTTTCACAGAATTTTTTGTGTAATTTGAACAGATTTACTGTGTATATCTATGGGCAGTTTCTTAACCAGTGAGGAAGAGCAAACATACTAGACCTGGCACCTGAAAGCTGGTAGATGAATAGAACACACGACTATAAAATGCAATTCCATGTCACCTAACGCTAAATGTATTTATGATTGGAGAACAAAAAAATTAGTTAAATTTCTGTCATTTACCTCTGATATAAGAAATGATAGCCAGCAGAGAGATGTTCTGCACCTTCTGTCTTGATATGCACAAACATGTGAGTTGATGCCACCTACACTTCCAGTGGTATGGCCACATTCTCAGGTAGGACACCCATTCATGTTGAAATTTGCATCACTAGAACATGCATGACATTATATGGTCCATATGCCTATAGATGCCTAGATATTGCCAAAGTCTTGCACTTGCCAAATTCCACTGACATCTTTGGGCCTTACATTCAAGACCTTTAAAGATCTTTGCTTGATTTGTGCTCCTTCCCACCTTATCTCTGATGAAATAATAATTTTTAAAAAAAGATGGATGACCATTCCAAAATATAGATTGCATAGTTGGGGGACCTACCTATCCAATTCAGATAAGCTTCTCCAGAATATCACTTAAATATACCAGGTGGAATAAAAATCCATTTTGAAAAGTATGAGAGGAATTCTGAGGTAGTTTTTGATCTGTAACCACTCACTGCTGCTTCCTTCCCAGGTTGTCCTTGCCTTTGCTATCCACACCTTTCTGCTCATTGTTATAGGAAAGACAATTACTGCTGCAATCCTAGCTTAAGATACATTTTTTAATACCTGCCACCTATCTGTCTTGGGCTTTTCTCATGCTCCAGCGGACAGATGGCTGCAGTTCTAGCACATTTTAACACTGGGAATATGAGTGATGTCAAGTGAGATTTATAGAATCAGAGACAGCACTCTTTTCTGGTACAAAAGGATCCTGTTAGGAGCACCAAGAATGAATGTTTTAGACAGGCTTCCACAGAGGAAAGCCAACGTCTCTATTTGTACAAGGCAATTGTCTAAAAATTTTAGCTGATCAAGTTAGGGATAAGAAGAGTATATGTGGCTTGATAGTGATCATTGAGCTATGCCCCAAATGGTTCATTCAGTGCCACATCCAGAGTGTTGTGCAGTGCCCTGAGAGAGTGCAAACTCATTCAGTGGTAGCCCTCCTCCCAATACCCATAAGAAGCACCATATGCACATCCATTGTTTTTGATCTTACATCCTAAAAGGCATTAATCTAGTACAAATAAAACTTTAAAAAAAAATGCTAGATATTTTCTTAGCTTACCTTTGTAAATTACAATGTTTGAGTTTATTGTATTTCCTTGTTGTTAAAAAACAAAAGCATCTGGCTGGGCATGGTGGCTCACAGTTGTAATCCCAGCACTTTGGGAGGCTGAAGTGGGTAGATCACTGGAGGTGAGAAATTTGAGAAGAGCCTGGGCCTGGCCAACATGGTGAAACCCCATCTCTACTAAAAATACAAAAATTAGCTGGGGTGTGGTGGTGCACGTCTGTAGTCCCAGCTACTCATGAGGCTGAGGCAGGTAAATTGCTTGAACCTGCGGGGAGGAGGTTGTAGTGAGCCGAGATTGTGCCCTCCAGCCTGGGTAACAGAGTAAGACTCTGTCTCAAAAAAAAAAAAATCATTAGATACACATTAGATAGACAGGCACAATCTATGCACCATAAACCTGAAAAGGATAGGGCAGCTTGGAAAATACCTAAGGGTAATAGAAAACCCAAGAGAGGAAACTGAAAGCTTAGAAGCATGAAGATGGGAGAGAACAGGTAAGGAAGGTTGTGTCATGTCAGTAGGATGAAATCTGGACCTGGAGTATGGCATATTCAAATTCAAAATTAATTGCGCTTTCTCAAATGGTGCAACTGGTGTATCCATTCTCTTGGATTCATGAAATTTATTCAGAGGTACCCAAAGTAAATTTCTTTCCTGACTTCATCTTTTGAGATTGCAAATGAGAAGAAATGTTATATATACTATAATCTAAGTGTGGTTTAAATTTCTAAATCTCA